CCACCATTCACAGAATCACAGAATCATAGAATAGTTGCCACAAGAAGGAACAATACATTGAAATGGAGAGCAGCTCTAATTTGGTTGAGGGTTTTTTTCACTATACAGACAGAAATGAACTTTTGAACTGTGATGAATTAGATAGATAAAAACAGTTTAAAAATGTAGCAGTTGTATTACTGTTAGAATTGAAATACATGGATATAAGGAAGATAGCAAGAGAGAGCTGTCTCCTGCTGGTAAGGTAAGGCTCTCTCTCAACTACATTTGGCTTAAACTGAGTTCTGCTATACGAGGCATAGAGCAATCAGTGAATTTTACACTCTTCTAGAGAGGGAGAGAAGATGAGACAGAAGAATAATTCTTTGCGTTCAAAAAGGAATGAAAACATTCCAGCACAATCACCTCCAGGTTTTAATTCAAATGTGCACTTTAAATGCACTATTATCTTATTTTCTTCACCCAAAATAGACATTATGAGAACATTTAGCAAACATGCACACTATATGCTTTAACATAGCAACTAATACAAGTTATGGGTAAAATCATGCATCTTCTGAAGCCACAGAATTTACATGCAGTTCAACTTGCACTAGGATTTTATTTCCAAGCCTTTGTAAAAATGAGCTAGTGAGAACAAAGCCCACCTGACAGACTACCAAAAGTTTTAACCTTCAGGAACTGCACAAATCCCTGTTATCAGCTATAAGAGAAATATAAAAATACCCCAGATGATCCCAATATCACAACTGTCATCAAAGCATTGGCACCTCAAGATTTAGAGTCCCAAACAGATGCCTTCACATTCTAAATAACTGACTTGAAGAGGAGTAGTTTCATTAGGATACAAATGGCTTTGAACATTATCCCTAGCCTCTGAGTCCAAAATTATGGCACCTAAAACTGGCATCGATTTTTGGCTGCTGATGAAAGGAGCAGTTCTACAGATCTGTCATTCCTGACTTCTTCCTGGCACTTCCCTTGGGCCAGCATCAGATACGTGAGTTGGATTCAAGGTTCTGCAACAGCTCACCTCTAAATCTCAGAGCTGTTGAGCTTCCAAAGCTCTCACAGACTTCAGCTGGCAGAGTGGATGCCGAAAGCTTTGAAAGGAATTTCAGTACCCAGAGTCTCTATTTGCACCAGAATGGTTCCCCCTCTCCCTATGGATAAGACAAAGATAAAATCATTAATGTTTGGATAAGGGCAAGTACTAACAGCTGTGCTGTTGGAGATGCTGTCAAACACTGAGGACACCTAAGTTATTGCCTGAGGTAAACTTGGAAGAAAATCATCCTGGATCTTTGGTGGTTAAACTACCAGTTAAATAATGACAAATTGGTGAAACTATAAACTGTTTTGTTACCAACACTGTTGATCTTAGCAAATATATAAAATTCAAATATCTTTCAATACTGTGATGATGATAGCCTTCTGTCAGAGGAAGCTGATGCCTTATATCAGTTAACTAAAATACTGTGAGGAGTCTGAATTTGTTTTGCCTGTTTCACCTTTGCATTCACATGCTTACTTCAACTTCTGCACCCTTCTCATCATCAACTGCACCTTCTTACTTTTGCATGAGACACTAGCTGCAGCAGTGATTGATCCATCCAGTTCTATTTACGTTACAGTCTGATTACCAGATGTGTTTGTGCTGTATCAGAAAAAAAGTTTTGTGAATGCTGTAATCTGTAAGGTAACACTGCTCTTCGACAAACAAGCTGTTGGTGCTTAGTTTCAAACGCTGCTGCATAAAAGCTTCCTTCCTTTCCTATGGTTGCCATAACAACAAGCCGAGCGCTGTCATTTTGCTAAGTGATGACAATGACAAATATGTAAGAAATGCAAAGGTCTGGGGAACTGGGAGCAAGATTAGAGCTTCTCTTCCTGCCTTGACAAAACATTTTACTATGGATTCATCTTGCAAGTCCTAAGCCATTCCTATGGGAACATGAGAAAGTGCTCCGCATTGCCTCATTTTTCAGAAAGTGAGGGTTCTCCTTATGGATGCTTTGTCAGGACATAGCACAGCATTAGTAATCAGGAGTACAAGAGATTATCTCGAACTCACAAATGCCTCCAAAATCTGGAATGAATCCTAATTTTACAGTGTAGAAGTTATAATGCTGTCAGACCTTTCTCTCTTTAGTAGGTAAGAAGAGGTTGCAGTGAAGATGCCATTTTACTGAATGAATAAAATCATGGACAGGTGACTCAAGAAGTCAGGAAACTATTATCTGAATAATTCTGTAACCATGAGAATGGAAAGTATTCTCTTCTTAATTGAATAAAGAACACCACCTAGGACACCAACCAGAAAGATGAAGACTGGCATTCTTACCATTTCATTGTGACAGCTGTTTTTTTCAGGTGATTTTCTTTTGGGATCACTCAACCTCTGATTTAAGAGAATTAGTGTTACTTGATTTTTCCAGGTTGGGAGAAAGGTGGTCTTAGTGTACATTGCCAAAACATCATTTTCCTTTTTATGCACTTTCAAAAGGTAAGTATTCTCTTTTCTTGCCTGCTACTTAGAACAGTTACATTTTCTCACTGTTTGCTGCATCTATTAATCAAGGTTTACCCTAAATGCACAGAAAACAAGAGTCATCCATCACGCTTACAACTTTCTCCTAAAACCATTACATGCACAATGGCTGCTCCATGACTCCAGTCTCCAGACATGACCAGCATGACACTGTTAGTCATACCCTTCCTTGACGTAAGTACAAAGTGCATTTCTAGTCATCCTATACTCCTGCCTCCTTCACAGCTTGGTACGGCACCTGCAGTGCTCCTGACATCTGTCAGTTCAAGAGAAAAATAGACTTGTTGAGCTAATCACCTCTACTGCAGGATCTTCAGTTGCCTTATTTCACTGCTTTCGTAAGTTTCCCTGATATCTGTACATCCCAATACACCTATCTTAACAGTTTAGGGCTTCGAGGGACTTTCCATATTTGTCTTAGGGGTTTTATGTCAATGTAGAGGAGAAACAAGAAAACAGAACTTCACCTAACAAAATAATCCACAAACTGTGAAGAAAGCACATTTATTAGCAACCATTAATATCGATTTACTGTGACAATGTCCTGGGTTCCGCAGTAGCAGTCATGTTTTTCCTTTGTGTTAACTGGTACAGTGCTGTGTTTTGACTTCCAGTTTGAGAACAGTGTTGGTATAGCTGATGTTTTCGGTTGTTGCTAAGTGATGTTTACCCTGACCAAGGACTCTGTGACAAAATAAGGTATCCACAAACTGTGAAGGGAGTGACCCGGAAGGACAGGGGTTTTCCGGGTGGAAAGCACATTTGTTGCTGGACTGTTTTCGTCTCAACCCGTAGGAGTTGCACTCTCTCGATCCTCCTCCCCGTTCCTCCGGGATTGCGGGGAGGCAGGGGGAGCAACCATTAATATCGATTTACTGTGACAACTACACAGTATCTATGCTCCTCTTTTCTGAAAACTGAGATGCTTAAAGATAAATGAGGTGTAGTGGGTTGACTCCGGCTGGACACCAGGTGTCCAACAAAGCCGCTCTATCATTCCCCCTCCTCAGCCGGACAGGGGAAAGAAAATATGATGACAGGCTCATGGTTTGAGATAAAGACAGGGAGAGATCATTCACCAATTACCGTCATGGGCAAAACAGACTTGACTTGGGGCAAAAATCTGATTCATTACCAATCAAATCAGAGTTAGATAATGAGAAATAAAACCAAATCTTACAACATCTTCTCCCTGCCCCTCCCTTCTTCACAGGCTTAATTTTAGTCCAATTTTCTCCACCTCCTCCCCACCAGCGATGCAGGGGGACAGCGAATGGAGGCTTGATCAGTTCATCACACATTGTCTCTGAGATCCTTCCTCCTCAGGGGAGGACTCCTCACACTCTCACCCTGATCTAGCATGGGGTCCCTCTCTCCCGCAGCAACTTTTCACTCTTAAATGTGTTATCCCAGAGGCTCTACTATCATCATCAATGGACTTGGCCTTGGCCAGCAGCGTACCCATCTCAGAGCTGGCTGGCATTGGCTCTATTAGATTCAGGGGAAGCTTCAAGCAGCTCATCACAGAAGCCACCCCTGTAGCTCCCTCACTACCAAAACCTCACCACACAAACCAAATACATGAAGTTTAAAAAAAAAAGAAAGAAAAAAAAGAAGGAAAAGATTAAAAATCATAGCTACTTCCTTAAACAAGCATTTCCTGTGACACATCACCTGTTCACCTGTTTTAGGGCAGAACTCTCCCTGAATTGCAATGGAGCTGGTAAGCCACATCAGGACATACCTCAATATTAAGAGGGAAAAAACTATTGCTATAGAATTTAATGACAGCCCAACACCCACCTGTATCTTAAACTAGCTAAAACAACATTTAACAAAAATCGACCTCAAGTGTTTAATGGAATCAAACAAGGTTTATGCAAGGGATTTGGCTGTAGTAATTAATCTGTCCATACAAAGTAACTATTTTCACTTATTAAAAAAAAACCACAATGTAGCAAGCATATAGTTGCATGACAATACGGAAGAGAAAGTAGTCACTGGTGAGATGGACAGAGTATCCCAGTATGTGTGATCACAAGTTCCCCTAAATGCTACAAACATTACTGCTTCTCTAGATGACTAGGTTTCCACTACAGAACTTTAGGCACTCAAATAAATTAGTTAGATTAAATGTCTAGACATACGATATCCCAAGTTCCCCAGAGAGAACTGTGATACATTCTGGAGGTGACATCTAGCATGTAACATTAAGATTTTTATCATTATTTAGTAATCAAGTAATAAATTCAGCACAAGCTGTGAGATTTATACTTCCTTGGAACCTTCCAAGACCCAAAATCCAAGTAATTTCACAGTGATCTTGACATAATAGAAACCCAAGAATTCTATATACAAACATAAACCCCGTCAAGACGGGTAGACATAATTCACAGGATCACACACCTCCAAAGAGTAACCACAGGGAGTTTAAAATAATTCTTCTTACCTGCTGCTGCTTCAGGACTGATGCTATCATTAACTATGGAAGTTGGACTTAGGGGCAAAACGTCATCATCAAAACTGATCAGATCTCCTTCCACATCTGGTTTATTTTGCAAAGCAGGTTCTGAGAAGTTGGCTGCAGATGACAATTCCCCCAGAGACTTGAAACCTTTGTCTTGGGCAGATATGGAAGCCCGTGGGGGAGCAGCAATCGGCTTCAGTGAGGCCAAAGAAAGGGCAGGATTTTCTGCATAACATGACTTTTTAGGAACAAGAGGCCTTGGAGCAGGAACAGGAAATTTCTTTTGTCCATCACTGTTCTCTGCAACTGATCCACTCCTTGCATCAAGAAAATCACTACTACTACTTTTAACGAGGCCAGGTTTTGGCTTCTTTGGCAGTTCAGGTTTGGCTACAACACTGCTCGCAACTACTTCAGGTTGAGGCTGCAATTCCTTGGAAGGTGTTGATTTGCTTTCTGTCCATGCATCCCAGTCTCCTGAAATTCTGTTTACCCCTGGCTTTGGAGCAACTACTGGCTTCTTTGCAGTAACAGGTCTTGGGGCAAACAAACGAGGGGCAATTTCTGGCTTTTTTGTTAATCCTGAGGTATCATTAGTTCCTTGGGATTCAAAAACTTTGATCCTTGAAACAATGCTATTTTGGCTCTTTTCTGTACTCATGCTGTCCATTACCAAGTGATTGTCTAGTAAGCTATCATCTAAGACAGGTGACTGAATTGGAGGTTGCTGCCTTTTTGTGGTAGACTGGTTCACTTCCTCTCCATTGTCATTCTCACTTTCAGTATTTTTGACCACAGGTCTGAGATTGCTTCTTGATCTTGGCTTTGGCACAGGACATATCACAGCACTGGGATTTTCTTGGCACCTCTGACCTTCAGAAATTTCAAAGACTATTAAGGGATTCTCATTTTCTGAAGGAGGCCTATTCAGGAGAGATGCAGAAGGCCTAGGAGGCTTAAGAGGACTCTGCCCTGTTAACATAAAAGAAAAGGTTTCAGTTATCTATTCCAGAACACTTTATTTACGTTATTGTCTGTCAGCCTTCAGGGTGGTAAACATGATCATTTTCATTCAGAACTTACTGCTGCTTGTGAAACTGCAGTTCTCTTTCTATAAAGATTAATGAAAAAATAGGCAAACTCTAGGAAGAAGCTGGAGGTTGCTGCAATGTGTGGTACCTACATGTTGTGAGTTCAAAATTACTTGTTAGCTTGCAGCATGAGGGACATGCCAGCAACATCTAGACCAAAAAACAGTATAGTAGCTTCCTCAGCTTGGTTTGCAAGCTTTGCAATTTGAATGTGTAACACTGCTGCTATTCTGATTGGACACCTGAGCTCCTCTGGCTGCAAAGCAATTGCCATTGTGGCTGAATTGAGCAAAACTTCCCAGATTTAATTACAGTCTCACCATGAATGCAGTGGTAGTTCTTCAGCAAAGAGGATTTTTACAGAAATTTATAGCAGTAAGTCTTCACAGAAAGTTAACTGCTATTCACAGTAAATTCTGCACAGACCAGTAATAAAGAACATCTTCAGGTGACAGTCATATTTTCATCAGTGAGAAATTCAAAACAGCCTTACCTGGATAGCCTGCAGATTCCCAGTGTGTAGGCACACTAGTTTTTACATTACTTCCTGGCAAATGGCTGATTAGTTCCTCTGGAAAGTCAGTTTGTGTTGCAGAAGTAGTGGTATGTCTAGGAGCAGCAGCATTATTGTTATTTGTTGTATTGACTTGCACTTGATTGATTTCTTTTATCACCTGCTCATATGATGGTGGAAGCTACAAAACAGAGATATAAATATTAATGTACATCCAGATGTGATCCTTTAAGAAACTGAACTAACATGCAGAGGAAAAGAACACTGTCATAGTCTTTTATTCAATGTGATGAAAATCCAAGCAAGCAAAACCACTGTTCTTCTCTAACTTACTGTGCTTTTTACCTTTGTAAATCAAAGACGCCTCATGTAAGCTTACCTCAGCTGGAATATGCTCATTTCTCCTCCACTGAGCATGAGATGAAGCAGAAGTGAATCCTAATCCCTGAGGAGTGACAGGGCTTGCACCTGGAAACCAGGAGGATGACCGAAGGGGTTCAGCAGCAACTATTGTAATTTCAGGACGCCTAGAAACGAAGGCAAAGGAGAATAATTACTTAAAACATTTTAAAATAGTTCTTTTAAGTATAAAAGACCAAGGATTTCTCAGCATGAGAAATCAAAATAGCTTAGGTCTTTTTGATTTAACCAAAGATGTTTTTTCATGATTTCAAAGTAATTTACCTGACCTTTCTAACAAGCACTTAGGCTTCCATTCAAAGCACCTAATCAAATGCCTGAGCCAAAAAGTAGGTTTATTGGCTTCAGTGAAATAATTTACATGCTTAAAGTACTTAAACACAAGTGTAACTCAATTAGATGGAAGAAGTCTTAGTCTTCACGGGATAATGAGAACTAATCGTGTTTGCTCTTAGCCTGCTACAGCATGAAAGCAGTAGGATAGTTAAAACTGCTTCTGGCTGGCTACCTAAACGCTTGTCTACTCTCAGACCTCTAGGGAAACCTCCCACTGTGCTAAAGTGGGGCAGAGCAAGCCCCATAAGGCCTTTGGGACAGGACCTATTTTCTTAAAGCATCTAGTACAACAGGGACCTGTAGATAGTACCCCTGTTTTATCACCATAACAACAGCTTTAGAGCATAAGGTGCAGCGATGACCCATGTTCCTGGACCATGGCCACCAGAGCACCACTGTTCAATCTAGAGTCTCACACAAAATACACTTTGAGAAGTGAGTTTTGTTGGTAGATGAAGCATTTGCCGCAGAAGCTCCTGTCTGCAGACAGAAAAAAACCCTGCAGAAGCACAACTTCTTGAACTATTGTAAAAAGACTTAAATTTAAGGTCTCTTTTGAGGGCTAGATTTCTTCACACCTGAAGTACTGAGAGACTCAGTTCACCAGCTATCCAGGTTGGTGACCTCCTTTCTCAATACCCTTTGAGAAACTGGAAGGAGGCCTGAAAGTGTGCTTATTTTCATTGTGAAGTGATCCTGTAAATAGGTGTCAGGAAAGTAAAACAGTTCTGCAGAGGTTTGATGGTTGGTTGCTTTCTTTTTTTGAGGACAAATGCAAAAGTTGATGAGAAAACTCCTCAAACTCTTAACCTACCCTGTGCTTAAGAATCATAATATTTTTATTTTATTCCAAGTTTAATTTATTTTTAAACACATCAACGACAGAGAGAACAAAAAAACCCACCAAAAACTAAAGAATAGAGCCATAAAAAGTAATGCTGTGACACAACCTAACAGGTCTTACATCAACAATAGTTGCAGTATAAGTAACAGCATCATACCTTCTATCCCTCTGTTGTTCACTATGGCTAGAGGTCCGAGAAGCTATTTAAATGAAACAGAAGTTTTAGAGAAGTTAAAATATATTGTCATAACAATAAGATGAAGATAATAGCAGAGCCCTTGCTAATCCACTATCAATGAAATGGAGAACACACAGCAACTGATCGTAAATTCCAGATTTTAGGAGTGGCCATGTTTTTAAAAAAAAAATTATCTGTCATAAATATGAGAAGTTTTGAAGAGTTTTAGGGTGCATATTTAAGTCACTTTATGTCCAAGTTGACACCCGTAGAGGTGATCTTATCCCCTTTCCTCTTCCTTGCCCCATGTTCTTGCATTCTGCATTGTGGTGACCTTAGAGTTGAAACTTCTTTTTCTTTAGTTAGAACAGTCCATGAATAAAACAAAAAAAAGTGTTAAACATGTCTGGCTTTGCTTTTGATGTCTGGTTTCCAAGATGTGTTCTTTAACTTGTTTTTAATGTCTCTTTTCGATTGTTTTAGAGAAGGGAAAAGTACTAAGGCACAAAAACTATTTCACCTTTATGTAAAAGGAAAATATTAAATGTTCTCAGCTAGGAATTTCCTAAAGTTTTATCTCTTGTGGATTAAATTCAGCAACATGTCTTTTTTTTTTTTTTTCTCTAAACCATGTAATTTAAATTCCACAAAATAAGTGAATCCTGACCTCTTCACTTTTGTAGTTTTGTCATATTACATTCAAATAATTTTTTGAATGGCCACATTACATTTTTATTTTGATTTCTTCAGAGAGAAAAGGAAATTACCCAAGGGACAAATTTTTGCATAGCAAGTGCAATTTAGGAAGTGGTAGAGTCTTGTTGTGCAAAAGCCAAAACTATGCTGTTCCTGTGCCATCACAGAATCATTAGCTGAAATCGGCATAATATACTTGATTCAAGAGTCGCATAGTGTTGTATCAGACATACCTCTTCCACAGGGCATTTTTGATGTGCACTATTCATGAGTGCTAGACGGAAAAAAGAAGGGGTTACAGAAGAGGAAGAAGAGGTGAGGAGAACAAACCAAGGCCAGCAAACATGATCAAATGGGTTAGTCATGCAAGTGCAGTGCATGTGCCAGTGCTGGAAGAGAACAACTGTAATGTCAGTTCACAAAATAGTGCCTTAAAAAAGCTAAAATAAAAGCAGAATTTAGTTCCAGTCTCATGCTGTTTTTAACAATGGCTGCTTAGAGTTTTCCCTTACAATAAATTAACCATGACGAATATAAACGAATATGGAAATGCCCACCGTATGGCTCTACAAAGAGCCATTCTAAGAATGAGGAGAGGGAAATCACATCTCTTTGAATGCTTTATTTAGTTTAAAAACCATGGTTTATTTGGGTCTGTGCTTTTTCCCTTCCAAAAATAATGGGTTACCCTAAGGAGTTAATACAGATGCAGAGAAGCTAGGATCCCGTAAGTTATACTCCTACCTATCAAAGAGGTATAGGCAGGCAGGTTGATCCCAATAAGAGGCACAACTTAAAGTTTCAGATATGATTGCACATTCCTAAACCTGTTCTGTACAAATTGTTTGCCTAAAATATGTAAATGAAAATCCCCTACACAACACCTTAACTTTCTTCTTCAGAGATCTTAACACAGCATTGATCAAATACAAACATTAAAGAAAACCAAAACCAACCAACCAAACACCAAACTGACCCAACCCAACCTATTTCAATATTACTTTTGCAAAGAGGATGGAAGAAAGTCCATTTGGTAAATGTATTCAATACAGCTGCTTGGGGTATAGTTAAATTACAGTGATAAGGCCATTAGAAATAAAAGCTAATTAATAAGGGATGGAAAACTGAATTGATAAACTGGACAAATTCTTTAATTCTTTTTTCATTTCCAGATAAATTCTATATGCTGTTTTCTCCAACGAGACTCTAAACGTACTTCTATTTACAAAAGTTATTAAAACAAATAAGAACAAACTAAAAAGGTCTGAAAGATCTTTCTCCTTATCATAGGCAGAAAAACTCCAGTGAGGCATCTATGTAATACATCAAACTCCAGATTTCAAGCAAACAATTAAACTCACTTGAAAATCGATTTAAAATATTTATATATAAATAACTTTACTAGTAGATATAAATACATCTCTTCAAAAGGGCTAACATCCAACCCATCATAAATGCTTTCAGAAGGTGCTCATTCTGTTATAAAAAAAAAGCCAACAAAACAAACAACTAATCTCCCAGACATTTATGGAATAAAGCTACTTCAATGTACATAAATATTTAATATAAACATTTATTTTTTAAGGACCTTGACAAAGTGTTTTCCTCCTTTCAACAACTGCTCCCCTCTTTTGCTGTCACACTTTTGCTACAACTGCACTTTTAGAACATTTTGTTTTAGAAGCTCTTAAATCCACAGTAGGAGCAGAGGTGAAAGCTACTTCATCTTCTGCTCTCATGCATTCATGTGAAGTTCCAATAAATGCTAGGGAAAAGAAAATATAAACTTTCTAAAAAATGCTTGCCCCAAGACTTGCACAGCTTTTATTCCTTTATCATTTCAAATGAATGAATTTAAATTAAAAAGTGTATGAGAGAAGACATGAATTTTTAAAATATAGCACACACCTGATTTAAAAACAAAAGAAAAAACTTGCAGCTGTTTTTCTGGCTCTGTGGTCTTTTGATCCTGTAAGTGTGTTCTGCCTTCCCTTTGCGGATTGCCTTGAAAAAGTTTGCTATTAATTTTCCCTCAGAATTCAAATTATGCCAACTTTAAGATTTCTAAAACCTTTCTTCCACCAGGGGAGTCAATGGAAATGTATTTCAGTGCTGGTTTATATACTGACAACTGTTGTTACCTCCTCAATTTCCACACTAAGAAGTGCTCAGGGTGAGAACAGCATATGCAGAAGCATATGCTTAGTGGTATTTAAGTAAAAGGTAAGCAAAACAGTTAAAGAACGGGTGGGAGAAAAAAAATGCAGTGCATAAAATCACTTTTCCTCTTAAAACGTTATCTCAGGGGAAAGGAAAAAAATACCTACTATAGTGGAATTTAAGCAAGTAAAGGACAATGGTATTACAGTATATAGAGAATAAATTAGTGACTTATAGATTAATTTTTTTCACGTATTTCTTACATGCACTATTTAATGGACTTTATCCAATTATTTTTGAATGTGCAGTGGTAAAGGGTACACAGTTTGTGATGTATACTTACACTTCAAATGTTTTTCCTCCACTGCTTCTTCTATGGATCCTACTTTTCAAGCGCACTTAATATGTCATTTGTATTTGAAACACATACAGATTATGGTGCAGGGGGCATTTTAAGATATGAGATCAAGATGCCTGTATAAGTACAGCCATCATTATACCACAAACCCATGAATTATGATGCTACAGACAAGCAGGTGGCAACAGAAGTCTGACATGCACTTCTGAATCTTTGGAAGAGAACAGGGAAAGAATTTACACTCATTCAGGCAAGCTTTTAAGGCAATATAGAAGCAACTATAAAGTTCATTCAGGGATCTGTTCAGAGATACCACCCTGCTGTTAGCACTGAGTGCTTCTACAATACAGACACTGCATAACAGTATTCATATGTTTCCATTAGGAAACCTGTATGAAATACTGAACAGTTATGTCACTGCAAAGTGTTTTAAAAGCAAGTTTCATTTTGTATTCAAGATTGGAACCACAGCCTCAAACAGATCAAGCCCTGTGGGAAATCAAGCTCCACATTTTTATGATTATTTTTATCTATTGTCCCTTCCAGCAGCAGTGAACAAACACAATCCTGCCAATTAACTATTTCACTTAATTCATATTAACTATTATTAACAGTTTTAAAAGTAAGTATATTATTTTTGGCAACAAGAATGTGTGCTAATATTTAAAACCACAGCTTCTTTCAATGCTTTTCTAACACCAGGCTAGACATTTCAACCATCAATTCTATTAAATACATAGACTATTAGATTGAGAAGTTATTCTTCTCACCATACAGCTGCCAATGAATAAAGATTAATCATTATACTACCTCAAGGAGAGCCTCAAAAGCGAGCAAATGCTTCCTCCCTTACCTACAAGGTAATACAGCAGAAGAGCTGACAGAATGGTTGTTTTCAAGAGGCTTGCAGTCTTTGCAATACAAAAGATGTTACATGGCTGTGGAGGCCCTTCTTCAGGGAACACTAAACACATCAGTTAATCCTCAAGCCAAAACCAGAAAAAAAAAAAAAAAAAAAAGAAGAAAAAGTATGATTTCACTTAAGATCTGATTTGACTATTTCTATAGAAGCAGAGGCTCAAACTCATTGGAAATTTTCTAAAGAGTTGAACTATTTCTTGGCACAAGGGGGAGGTCTTGCTCCTTTTCTCCTGTTTCTGTTTCCAGACACCTCAGGGAAATGTTTGGCTGTCTGACATTAGAGCTGGGCTGATTTAATGCTTGAATGTAGCTAAAAGAGATGGCGATGCTCAATTCCCTTTCCAAACATGGACTTTTGTCACCTCTTGAATGAACAGTAGCACTCCTATGACCCCACTGTGAGTTCAGTGTTAAATTAAAAAAAAAACACTTTCTGTACAGTTTTTGTCCTTTTTATTTCCCTGAACCTGCTCACCTTGGGCTCAGATCACTAAGCAGCACAGGAGAAGGAATGTGACACGCCCAGCAGCAGTCTCTGTTTCCTGCCTCTGTTTCCCATTCCCAGTTCTTCCTTGTGCAACTTCAGTGAGGGAACTGATCAAAAATAACCTAGGGGGGTGACAGGGATTCCCTTTCCCACCCCCAGTGAGGTCAAATACCCTTTTCACAGCTGACTGAACTGCTGAGCATCACAGAGGCAGGCATTGCCTGTAGTTCCACTCAAATTTGACAATAATGATTTATGAAGGCACTTCACTCCTTCCTACACCTTTCCTTGGGCTGTATGTTCCTGCCTCTGCACCATTCCCAGAATTATGCCAGCACAAATGTTTGTGCAGATGGGGAGCGAATGAGGTCATGGAAATGATCTGGTTGGGAAAAAGTAGGAGCCAAAAGAACCTAGGAAGCCCCCAAGCAAAACAGAATAAAAATGAAAAACAAACAAAACCCACAGCCAAAAATGGCTGCAATACTGCCAAATGGGAAGCCACAATTTCAGAGTGCATACAGGCTGCTACACATCCTTCATTCAGCCACATATTTGCCTAGGACAGAATGAGAATGGAACAAGTTTGCAGGTTCCTTCAGGATTTTAGGGCTGCAGGCTTGCTTCTGTGGTCCTGTTCCTTAACACTATCATATTCTGGAAGAGTAGAGAAGTGAGTGAAAACATTGTTCCCCTTTGACTCACTACTGCAGCTCTTGGCTTGCCTCTATTTACTTTCCTTGGCACTCCTGTGCATGTTGCTGCACTGGCGTCAATAGAAATAGTTTCACTGACTTCAGTGGGAGCTGGATTTAGTGGTGTGTCCTGGCCCAAAACCATCATAAAAAATCCAGAGTAATTTATGAAAAGTTGAGATTAAAAAATTATTTCCAAGCACACTTCATGTTCACATGCTTGCTTTCTCCAAGCAACTGGGCTCACTTTTCTGAAGTCTGAGCTGTCAAAAAACTGAAACAAAATGGCATTGCCTTCCTATCTAGAACTGTAGTCAGAGACTAAACATTCTTCCTTTTTGGCGGCAACACAGGGAGAGACTTACTGATACAAAGTCATCTAAAGCGTGGTCAACTGGTTGAAAAGCTGAAACCCTGCACGTACCTATCGTGTTTACTGAAAATCAGAGATAAACAGCCCACGTAAACTGCGAGTAAGAAATTAAAATAGATTTGTAACTCTGTTAGGGGAAACACACTTTTTCCAGAGAATACCATATTTTTCCCAGGTTAATGACAAGGGGAGGTAGCTATTATTCAGAGTCCATTTTTAATTTAGGTCCATCCACAGGTATGGTTACTGGGATACAAAGAACTGTGATTTCACGTGCAATGCATTGGTATGTGCATGGGGATTTTTTCCTATCTTATAATCTCAATAAGTCACATGGTACTTGTATTTCATCACAGTTGTTTGCATATTAATATTATTAAGTAGATTGTTACAGGAGCCAGGGCTTCTTGACAAGATTTTTTTTTTTACTTGATTGTGCTTTAAAACTAAGTATCACTTGCAACTGTGTCTTCAAAAACAGTGATATCAATTACATAATGATCTTTCAGAAGGTTTCTCAGTTAGATGAGGTACTGGGGCTTAGGTACTCTGAATCAATTTCCCACTGCACCACAAAAGGCCCTCTGCGGTCTGGTGCTCACTGTTTTCCAGTTTCCTATCTATGGCAGCAACTGCCAAAGATAAAATGCTGCATTTTAACTACAGCATCATGTAGACTTGCTTTGAATAAAGCTTTCACGATCCCCTTCGATTACCACCAACCTAATCCATACTAATGATCCCTTGACTAATAGGTCCAGGAGAAACAAGTCAATAGTACATCCACTTATTTGCTTTTCCCTATAGCAGAATCCTGAGGGTTGTTCCATTAATAGGAAATTGAAATAATTTATAGAAAGGAAATAAAAATGAAAAGAAGAAGAGAGAAATAGCATAAAAGACTTTAGAAGATTAAGTTAATGAAACTGTCTGCCTAGAAATATCACGAGCAGGGGAAGGGAAAGAGAAGTTAAATGATAAAGCCAGGGAAGAAGAGTTTGGACTTTCATTCAAGAATTATAAACAATTTTTTATTTTCCAACAAGAGCACAATGCATGAATCTAATCCTGTCCCCAGTTGCTGTGGATTTCTGATAAAATAGAACAATCTTCTGTTTTGTATGTGTAATCTGAATTCTTCAGGGATGGATCACATCTGTGCACAAATACACTAGTGATAAATAGGAACATATTAGTAACTGGCAAGAAGGAACAGCTCATCAGCAAAACAGAAAGATGGTCTAATGTGAAGCAAAAGAGTAAGGAAGAAATTACAACCCCCAAAAGCTTGCTAGCTACTTTGTTTTCACATATGAAGTTAACCAGTTACTAAAATCAAAGATGTAGCAATCTTACAATACTACAGTTCTAAAAAAAAAAAAAAAAAAAAAAAATAGGAAAAGTAGACTTACATCTCTTGATTGCTGCTCTTATAGATGACAAGGGTCCTTGGCTTAATGAACAACAACAAAAAAAAATACAGTATGGTTAATATCACAAAGAGAAAACAAGTAAGCAACATGCAGAAATTCCCCATCTATTGTAAAGAGTTTGCCAAGTGCATTTTCCCCTAGGTTGCCCCAAACTCCTACAGTATACAACCATACCCAACCTCTTCTAATGAAAAGCAGGTTACAGCTTAGCTGCAAGACTCTGCAAAGATAGAAAGCCAATTATTAAACCCATTTTTAAATCTCAATTCTGTGCTGAAGTTCACATTCTATCTCATCTGTCAAAAAAGCCCGGAGAAGAGCCCATGAGGCTGTGCATACTCTCAGATTATAAGCCTTTAATGACTTAACATTCTTGTAAATAAATAAACCTTACACAGATGAGTAAAAGCCTACAAGTCCTTTGCTAAATATTTCTAACAATTACCTAACAACTTATCTCCCCTTCCAGTTGAGATTGCATTTTTTTAGGAATAAGTTGGTGGGTGGGGTTAGACAGGAGGACAACATGACCAAAAGCTGTTGATACACAAGAGCTGAAAAATGTTTCCTTTTGCCAATTCATCTGTTTTGTTGGCAAGATTAAGGTTTCCAGCGCCTCTCTTCTGAATGTCTTCAATGGATACAGCGGTCCTTACTATTTTCATAAGGTAAAAATCAAAACTAACTTGGAGTTACCATTTTCAGGCACTGTTGCTAGCTTGAAGAACACGGAATTAATAACCTGCCTCCTACAGAGGAGATTAAAAAAAAAGCCAACACACAAGTACTTCAGAAAAGGACTTTTTTGCTGTTTTTTCTTTAAAACGTGACATGTAAAGAACACCTGTGGATGAGAAGCCTCTGAAAGTGCTGAATAGTCTTTAAAAGCTGAAAATAAACAGACTATATCTGGTTTAAATTAATACATTCTCTTAATTACAACAGAAAGGTAAGCAAATCTTTTCTGGAAACCTTCAACAGCGGTGTAACAGCAGGAATGTTAGTACAGGGAGGGCATTAGCATTTTAACACTGCTTCCACTCTGCCTACAGCAGGCATGCTGCACACCAATTCTGTCAGGGCTCAGTTCAGTTCCACATGCACTTCCTACTGCAACTGCTGATGGCTGCAATTACCCCAGTGGGAGGAAGAATAGAGGTATTTGAGGAGAGAAGAAAGAGACTATCAAAGAGGACAGGGATGAAAAATGTCCTCCCTCTACAATCATTCTGAAAGCTAATTAAGACTAGAAATGAATGTTGCTCTGACCGAACTGTTTTATGAAATAGTTTGGGTAGTCTAGGATAAACAATGCCTATTTGTCTGGTTTCAGAAAGAGTTCAAACGTGGCTTGGCCCCTATCCACACAGCTAGCAAAGCTGCACTAGAAAACATTTCTATCAGTCGTATTTCACTGTGCATTCTCAGCAGAAAAGGATTCTAATTTTCCCTCGAAGTGTCCCATCATACTACAGCCTTATCTTTAAGCAAGACTTTTAGTTTTAAGTTCCTCTCAGACATACCCCAGGCTCCTTTTATAATTCTTTAAACTCAAGTCTCTTTCTTCTGTATTTTCATTTTTGAAGCTTTATTCTCCTGCTTTTGTTGCCATAAATCACTTTATCACTTACTACACAGGAAGGAGACTGAAGTCTGGTAACGTGGATCTGAAATCTTTTGGAGTGGCAAAAAAACTTTCTGTACTCAAAATTAAAGATTTACTGAAGTTTTATAGCAGGAAATTAGGAAACCCATAAAAAATGCATGTTCAAGTATTAGTAAGAACCAAAAGGAACAAGTTATTTCTTCTTCTGGCAAGAGTGCTTTGACCCATTGCAATTTGCCTTAGAATCTGATGAGCACCTTCAGATATGAGCCAGTACTTTTTGCTAGAAACCATAGGTGTCATCACGCAGGCAAAAGTTCAAGTTGTCCACACAACGCAAGGCCCAAAAGGGTATAGAAAACTATTTTAAAACAAAAAATGCAAAGAAGCAGCAAAATCTTTTACAAAACCTTCCTAGCGAAATTGTAGTATGGATGTATCAAGAGCAAGGCAGTTCAAGTATGCAACTATCCGTGTAATTTAGAACCCAGGATAACATGGTTCTGTTAGAAAACTCATGAGTTCACAGGCAAAACAAGCTGCTAGGAGATATGTTTTCCTGGTTCACATTTAGCTTACAATTATTTAAGTCCTTTAAAAACATGAAACTGGGAACAGACACCCCCCCCCCCCAAAAAAAAAAAAAAAAAAAAGGTCCTGTAAAGGAACTGCAAATTCCATACACTAAACCCCACCAATTTAAGTAAGATGCTGGTTTTGGGGCACATGGTTATTTTGCTCATACCTTATGCTGAGCTAACCCCCCTCCCTGTTCCACAGGCAACAATTTCTCGCCTCATGTTCTGTCTTGCAAAGAGAGAAATTAGAAGGTTAGCAGTATCCTCCTCTGTTCCACAGTTAATGACATATTTTTTCTCAAGCCATCCAAATAATTAACCAAATCAAATTTAATTCCCTGTTTGATGAGGTAGGAACTGCAACAATTACTCCACGGTATGGAGTCCCTGCCTCTTTCCCACCTCCTCCTCCTGTCCATAAGGCACAGCAATGAACCAGAGCACGCACAAACACACATGTTAAGGAAAAACAAAAAGGAAAGAAGTTTAATTCATGTGAGACCTCTGATTCTGGTCCCAACGCAAGTTATATCAGAACACCCGAGGGGACAGTGTGACAATAGTCCCTGCCGGGATGGGGGGACAACACAACTGCTCCTGTGCCTCCCTGGAATATATATAAGCATAGTCCAAATTCATACCACTGGAAGAAAACAGTACAGAGAGCAGGAACTTTCAGAGCATTAAAGGCTCTGATAAACATTTGCTCCAACACCACCTCAGCTATATCAAATATGGAATAAGTAAAGATGCAAACTACCCATCCATCCCCACAAAGGATTTAACATGCAGGAGTGGACAACCAGATCAATTCCTTGGACGTCTGCACATCATCGCTCACTTTTAATTTAAAGCGCAAACTTGGTTTCATTTCCCACTAAGACAGCACCTTTGTTGAGCTTCACTTGCCAGCCCCTCAAAAAGGGGGAACTAACCCACCTCAGTTGTGCCCTCTGTGCACCCAAGCAAGCCCACTCAACAGGTTCAGAGGAGATCTGTAAGCTGCTGTACCTATTAAGCTGAAAGCAGCTGGGTACTTTGAGTCTGCAGTAATATGAAAAAGGTCCCATGGGTCACCATTTCTGAAAGATAAAGAACCTGGAGTGGTTTGTTTGAAGTTGTTAGACACCTGCTCACTCTTCCTGGCAGGCTTTACTCTGGGTTTCAAGGACAGATTTTCTAAATATAAACACTTGAGGAGAACACTTCAAAAACATCTTTCAGGTCCGTATACTGGGAAAATAAATTTGCCACCAAATAGACTGGGTAAAGAGCTGTAAACTGTTTAGTCGAGTAAGTGCACTTAATTGTGTATAAACCCTGGTCTCTTCCTCATTAGGCGCTCTGCTCTGACACTTTACTTGCACTGAGCAGTGTTTCTCATCAAACACTACTCCAGTGTAGCTACAGTATTTCTCAAAGGCCTGTTCCTGCAGGATGACTCCTGACCTAACACAGCAGTGTGTATCACTCTCCTGAACAGTCCCTACACAGCAGAGGAAGGGAGGCACTGTCTGGGTGGAATAAAGCTCAAGTCCCACAGGTATCTCCCTGTGAGCAGGCAGGGATTTGTGTGTGCCTGGAGCAAGGCAGCATTCAAGTCATATGCTACCCAAGGAAAGAGGTCAGGAGGTTCTGGTTTACCTTTTCACCCACAGGTCTTTTAGCTGTTTCAGGAGCAGTAGTGGCTCCAGCCCAGCCAAGGGCATCCCATGGACCAGCCAGATCTGCTGCTGAGCGCAAACAGGCAGAGGAGGCCTGGGCTTTACCTGCCTCTAGAGAGCATAGACAGTACTGCCTTGTGATTGCTCCCTCCAGCCCCTGAGAACAGCCATATAAAAGGTGGGGTGTCTCCCTAGGTTATCTACAGCCTTCTACCCTCTAGGTTGTGGCACTGCTTGGGATACAAAAGACACCCCAAGCTACAATCCTGTCTCAGCATTTCTCCTTCATCCACTTCCACTAGTCTCCTATTGGCTTGCATGTGATTCTCAGCAGGAACTGAGCAATCCTCCAGAATGCCTGCTTCTTTTATCAGAACCAGGACCTTTAGTTTCTTTATCATTGACATAACAATGAGTATTCTACAGGAAAACTGATTTTATATATCACTCTAGTCATACACAAAAGCCTAGGGGGGAAAAAAAAGAGAATGAAAAATAATGAACAGTTGTTCTAAAAATGAATGTACTGAACTATCTGCTGCCAAATCTCAACATTTATCTTTCATGTCATGTTATACAAAGCTTTTTCTAAAATATTGTTCCTTAAGTTCACATACCTGTGTAAAAGCTTTTAAACATAATTTTAATTGTCATGGATATAGACCTTGTCTTATACACAAGCCACAGAGTAAAGAAAGTTCAAATGTTGCTATTTTTAATGTCTTGTGACTTCTTGGAATGTGAGCCAAGGATTTTTAAATTGCTGATGTTGAAATGACTGTGAGGCAAAACACTAGTTTAAGAAAAGGCATCAAATATTCCCCTCAGTTGCTTTAGAAATCATGCCATCTTTATAACAGGCAGTGTACTACAGTGTAACACTTAAAAACCCTATTAGAAGACATTATTCCAAACACAAAATGTTTAAAATGTCACCTAAATGATTTCACTGCAGGCTGAGTCACAGAAAAATATTAGTAACCTTATAGTTACATTAAGGGTGGTGCAAAAAACCAGATTATCACCACCCTGACAGTGGGCCAAAAACAGACATATTAGTTCAACTAAAAAGCTCACAAAGTTAGGACAGAAGAGTCACAGCTATCTCATGCTCATGATGCGGATACAGTAGACAGAATTGCAGTAATCCTATGGATTAAGTGAATGTGCAC